TTTTTTTTATCTGGATAAAAAATTTTATACAAACCTAAAAGATAAATTAAAATATTATGAGTATCTTTTTTATCAGATAAAAAAAAATTACCCTAATTTCAAATTGATGTCAGGACTGCTGTGTGGCTAACTAATATTATTTACATCTTGAAATCAGACATGAATCGGTTGAAAACAAATGAGATACCTAACAACACCAAGCTGACTTTAAAGATAAAATAAAAAGTAGCAATTTGCTATTGTACATCAATTTCCCAAACTTCAGCAAGCTACTAGTACAGATATATAGATAAACATATCTTGATTATTGCAAAACTAGAGCCAAACATTAAGTTGTGTAAGGTTGATATGTACAACACTTTTGACTTCCTAAGCAATCTAACCTAAAAGGGCGGGATTATAAATATTATGTCATTCCCTTTCGCAAAAAGTATTTCAAGAAGTTGTGAAATTAACCAGGCTTACTCAATCTAACTACGTGAAAGAATTAAGTAACTAACCTATTGTTGGAATGGTTGTTACAATTTCTCCGAGCTTCAGTTTGTACAATATAGTTGTCTTTCCTGCAGCATCAAGCCCAACCATCAAGATTCTCATCTCCTTTTTTCCAAATAAACCCTTAAAAAGGACACCAAATATATTCCCCATTGTGGCTGATTATCTCTCTGCTTTTTGTTTCTGGTATTTGGGCCTGTAAAATAAAATGTCCATAATTTAAAAGCTAAAGGAGAAAGAAATAATTGCAAATGGTCTCATTTTTTATTAAAAGAAATATTGCTCCTCAAAATTCCAACTTAATATAGTTTAAGAGCAGCATCCTACACTTGAACCTGCATTTTAGGGTACAAAATTTTGGTTATATGATTTTGCCTTGCACTGGGACACATATCAATAGGATCTATTCTAAATGATAATTTTAAACTTTGTGAAAGCACTAAAAAGGATATCACAAAATTCTCTTTAATAATGTAAATAACTCCCTTCTGGTTTTATAAACTTTCACATGTAATAACTACATATAACAATGTACTGTTTAGTTCAAACAAACAATTTCATCACAATCCCGGATATCAATCTTGAGCTAGTTCACCTTCTTCTCAAAAAGGAGGGTAAGTTTTGTAGCAGTCAGTTGGTTAGATAGGAAGATACACTTGAAACAGATTCACATTTCTTGTTAATCTTGAAATAAATTATGTAATAACATCAAAAAACATTGATTGGCATGTTAAGAGCTTAATAGTAATTTTCTCAGCAAACAGCTTTTCCTGTTATTGATCCAACAATCAGATGGACAAATTTATCAATTTTATGCATTGTTGGAGGTTTTTGAATAAATATAAATTATATAAACAAAAAATCAAACACATGGGTTAAGTCTCCTTTCCCTGTAAAAGAGCACTGAGAACTTAAGGTTCAAAAGCAGTTTAAGTACGCATTGTAACTTGTGACTGCTTTTGGATGATCGGCAATCTACACAGATAAATTTACAAAAAGGTTCCACTAAAAAAATAAATAAAAATAAAATTGAAATAATAAGAATAAAACCTTTTTCTGGGACAAGACAGCATTAAGTATCAGCATGGTATTTTTCAGTTATCAATTGAGAAGTGCTGAAATTTCGTTTTGGCAAATATGTACAGTATCTAAATGTGTGGTCAATAACTTGTGAAGACATCAGAACACTGACAAAACAGATGTTAATCACTTCTAAAGAGTAACGTACGTACTACTACAAAAACTTGACAAACATACAAAGACATGAAAAAACTTAAACACTAAACAAGGGTAATATAATGTTTTACTATTATCTTCTAAATAAAGAGTATAAGGCCTTTTCTGAGTTCAGAGAAATTGAAAATGAAATAGACACGTAGCCGCTGTTCTCGATCAACAGCCGTCTCAAATTCAAAACTGCCGAGACGAGAACAATAACTGAAACTGTTAAAAATAAGATACACCCTACACAAGGCAGCTGCTAATTTTTGTGTACCTTTATCGATCGGGTTTTAGTCTTTCCGTAATCCCCACTAATTGTCAAGAACAACTTTGCTGTTAACCACGCATCAGAACTCACAGGGCGCCGCCATTTTTTCTATCACGTGATAGGGATACGCAATTTGCGCAATGTTTTGACCCCAATTGCGGGACATTGACGTGGCATGTAAAACGAAGGAACTTCCACGTCCGCCATTTTACGTTGTAACTGATTGACCGGTGGGTATATTTTGGTATGTAAACAGATCATTTCGTCAGAATTTAACTAGCCATCCGACTTGAGCCATTACAATTATTGAAGGCTTTCATGTCATTTCGAATTTTGCTCAAGACTTAAAGAATATTCATTGAAATTGTTTGTCAGAAGACAAAGCCGGTTACTTCCGTCATTCATACTGGATCTAGAGGGCGTAGACTAATGTAAGTTTAGGGGTGTATATTAGTTGTTGCTGGCCATTTATGAAGGATAGAAACATTCAAAGGTACAGCCAGATCTAGGTGGGTCCTAATTTAAACCAGTATGCTGTAGTGATCCGTTGAAACAATTCAGAAGTGACATTTTAATAGTATCTGAATGACACAGAAACCAGTGAATTCACAGGTTAATGAGTCATGTCTATTCGTCAGCATTCTGTAATGTTAAGTTTTCCCGACATTATTAAGTTTATTGTTTTACATCACTATGCTACCTTGGGTCCCCCCTCTCCCTTCCTTCCCCAGGGTATGCCTGCCAATAATATTGATAACAATGATAATAGTAACCTCTTAAAGGGTCATCCATTTTTATCATCATTTTCACTATTCAGAACATTGTGGTCTTCTGACCACTTTCCCAGTCATTTGAATTAGTTCAAAGAGCAAATTTCGAATGCTTTAAATAATGCTCCAATCCTTATCATATATGGCATAGGCTCACTTGGCTCATTGAAATTGGCCTATAGATAGATGAGCTCATCCCAAAATTCTTATAATATTTTGTGCCATAGGTCTAAAAGCAAGATAGCAAAAAAAGAAATAATAATCCACCATTTGGTATGTCTTTGTCGGCCTGTTCAATGTTTATGCATGGGAAGAATTAAAGTTATTATGATTGACCTTTTTTACAGACCCATCAAATACCATAGTCGAGAGACACAGTTAACCAGCCACTATGGGGAATCTATTCACTAACCTTTTCAAAGGTTTATTTGGTAAAAAAGAAATGAGAATCTTGATGGTTGGGCTTGATGCTGCAGGAAAGACGACTATATTGTACAAACTGAAGCTCGGAGAAATTGTTACAACCATTCCAACAATAGGTAAGCTGTAAAGGACAATCGGTACTAAATCGCTGTTTGAAGTGTTAGCCTAATTTTTAGAGAACGGCATCTTAAATGGTTTGACTTTACCATTATACCAGAGTGTCACAAGTGCTCAGGGAAGTGCCTTGATCAGTTCACAATTGCATTAAGATCTTCCCTTTATTTTTCAATCTACATTTGATCTAATAGGCTATACTAGATGTAATGTCCCAGAAAGTACACGGCTCTGCTTTTAAGTTCTATGGTACTCTGTACAGGCTAACAAAGCCATGTGTTTGGTATATAAAAGTCATACCAATTGATAAACAGTGTCGTACACAGGTGTTTTATAAATACTCTTGTATTATATATCTAACTGTATAATACTTTTGTCATAGGAGTGGTATAACAGTGACAAATATCAGATGTATTTACTGATGGTTTAGTGAAAGTAGTCACTTTCCTGCAAAAAAAAAAAAAAAAAAAAAAGTAGTGAGGCAAGCTATGTTTTGCTGGTCTCCCTAGTGTCTATTTAGTTTAAGTGGTTACCATCACTCACACTCTGTAAATACTCTTCCTTGGAACCATGAGCATTCTTATTGATTGTTATATGTACTGTGTAATATTGCATGGATATTGTACTGTGCACATTGTAATGTGTTAACCATAAATCTACAGTATAGCAGTGGCACAGCTACTACACTGCCATAATTATTGTAAAGTACACTGTATAACAATGTCATGTCAACTGTATTATAGTGTATAACTTCACACATAGGAAAACAATAAAGATACTGTATTTCCTGAGGACCTACCTGCCAGAAATCTAAAGATCCTAATTCTGTACGTGTCCAAACTAAGTGTTCAATTTCCATTAGTCTGTACTAGCATGTGATTTATTGTTATGCTGTTTTTTCTTTCAGTTTACTAGTAATGGTAAGGAGAATGATCAGCTATTTATTCATTTCTCTTTACAGGTTTCAATGTAGAAACAGTAGAATACAAAAACATAAGCTTTACAGTGTGGGATGTTGGTGGTCAGGACAAGATCAGACCACTGTGGAGACATTATTTCCAGAACACACAAGGTGAGTTGTATTGGCTAGTCAGTTCTGTATTCTTAGGGCAAGGGCAAGTTCAAACAGATACATGTTGGAATGGAAATAACTCGACCTGGTGCTCTCTGCCTCGTAAAATGACCAACATCGATTTACACAGTGGCAAAAGGAGATTGAAATTTCGTTTGTAGGGTTATATAGCAAAGGAGCTTTTTGTAATCCTTCTTGCCTCATGTTATGCTTGCTTCTGAGCAACACATAATTGAATCAGATGATATGTGAGGAAATCTGTTTGAAAAGCATTTCCTTTAAATTCAACTGTGTATTTTGATGTATTTAGGCTGAAATAAAATGGTGCTGACAACCCTTCTCTTTCCAAGAATTTGGGTTATTTTGACGCGTACCTTCTTAACATCCCTTGTTCTCAACCCCTCATTTGAGATCATAAGCTGATCACAAGGCTGATTAATTACTGGGACACTTTGCATTGACCATACTGGTGGTGAATATATTTAATTTTGGGACATTTAAAAAATTCAGTTTGGTAGAAATGTTCTATGGTGAAAAAACTACGGTACAACAACTCACTTTTACATTTGCTTTGTATTTTAACATTATCTTATGATGAAATCATTCAGTAGTTATATGATGATCATATGATAATGAGGTGCGTTTCCTTTTCAGGCCTAATCTTTGTAGTAGATAGCAATGACAGAGAGAGAGTAGGAGAGGCTCGGGAAGAGCTAATGAGAATGTTGGCAGAAGATGAACTGAGGGATGCTGTACTATTAATATTTGCCAACAAACAGGTAAGGGTCTCAAAAGTCCAACGTTTAATTATTAATAAATTTTAATATAATTATTTACTGTGGTCAATGTCTTGTGGTTTCAACTTTGCCTTTTGGTTAGCACCATGGACTTGCATTTAATGACTGAGTGGTTTTGGTTGATATGGCTGTTTTGTGCAATACATATACTTATGTGTTGTCTTTAATTTAAATGGATAGTTGACATTGATTCACGTTGTAGTGTAAACTATTATTTTTCCTCCTCAAGAATATCCCTCATGCGCTACCACCACTTAAATTTAACAACTTTTAAGTTTGCCCATTCCTAACGTATCCCCAAAATTTTTACTGCAATACATTTATTGACAAACAAACAGCCAGACACAAAATGAAAAACTGGAGAAAACAAGACCTCCTTGGAGAAGGTATTAACAGACATGCTCAGGCTTCTCCCAATGAAAATTTGTACTTTTCATTATACATTTTCAACTTTTTAATTAAGGATGAAAACATGGTAGTTACAAACATAAAATTTATCTTCCCAAAGGTCCACTGGTACATACAAGCAGTATTTTATGTTATTCTTGGCATTTATCAAAATAAAATCATATCCTTTCAGGATTTACCCAATGCAATGAATGCAGCAGAAATAACAGACAAGCTTGGACTTCACTCACTGAGAAATCGTAACTGGTACATCCAAGCGACGTGTGCGACCAGCGGAGACGGGCTTTACGAAGGGCTGGACTGGCTATCCAATCAGCTTAAAAACCAAAAGTGACACAACACTTAGGAGCTAGAAATAATTAACAATTTAAAATGAAGATTTTCACCATCCAGTTATTGTTACTGGAAAACAATCATCATCGCTGGGACTTGGGGGAGATGAACCAAAGGGATATTTCTGTACGAAGACAGTCTGTTCACCTTTAAAACTTCAGATTTTGAGAATTTTCTTATCAATAACTGCGAATGGGGGGAACCTGTCTATAATATGTGGAGTGGCGTTAATCTTCTGAGACAGTGAAAGGCCTTTTGTTGTTGTATTCTGCTTCCCTTTATCTCTTGTGGAAGCCCGCCGTGCATTGTATTAATATTATTATAAAAATGTGATCTCCCATAAGAGATACAGGATTGCAGAAAAGGGCACATAAAAGGGCAAAAAAAAAAAGAGACTGTGTCAGTCCATAAAAATGTAAAAGGGGAAATTCTTGTGAATAAGATTAATAATTGGTGTTTTTTTTTTTTTTTCCTTTTTTTTTTTTTTTTTTGTAATAAATGAGTCATTGGTCCATTGTTAGATATATGTACAATGTGCAGTTACTATATATATATATGCTTAGATTGTGTAGTGCTATGAAGCGATTTATTCACCCCCCACATTAGAGTTATAATGATAGAAACAGAAATGTTGTTAAGCAAGTCGTGTTAAAAGGAAAAAAAATGACACTGGTCAGACTAAAAGCGTGATCACTTCAAATTGACAAAATTATCATTACGATTGAGTTGAGGGTTCTTTTCGGTGCGTTCTGTGGTTAGGTATTGTAAACGTTTGTGAACAATTTTACATCTCTCTCTCTCTCTCTGAGCATGTACTTTGCACATTTCTGTATCATTTTCAAACATTGCGAGATGGATTTTGGGGTATTTGTGTGTAAAGCCCCCTTTACACTAGACGGCGTCCTTTCTGCATCAAGCAGTACGGCCCCATTTGGGAGTTAAAAAATTATAATAGTTTACGTGCTGACAGCTGGCCGATCATTGAACATTCATTCTGATACAAAATCAATGCTCGTGCCTCCTTATTAAGACCACAGCGATGCCAAATTTCATGGTCGCAGAAAGGACGCCGTCCAGTGTAAAGGGGATATAAATCTGTTTGGGAAGCGGGATGTGTAAACAAGAGTGGCCTTTTTCAAAGGCAACGTTTCTGTGGGATTCTTTGGCTTGGTTGTGTCTTACTGAACCCGTATTGGAGATTTACAGCTTGCACAAAGGCAATCATTTCTGTTATCAAGCCTGGTGTTTTATAAATAAATTTGATTTATATACACATACGCTGATCTGCCAGTCTGTCCCGTAACGTTAAAAGTGATCCACGTGGAAAACTTTCAATTTTATTTTAATTTTGTGCTATTTCAGAAGTCGCTGCAGTGTAAGATAATCTTGGGTCAACTTTATTTTTCAGTCGTGCTGCAAAATTGTATGTAGAGTAAAATATCTAAATTGGATCACTGGGAGTTGATTTTGTTCATTTTAACAGTATTTGCTTTTGAATCATTTGATGAGGTTGACTGAAAACTGTATGGTCTACTTAAAGAAAAATCACTGGGAGTCGAAGGGCAGTTCCGCCCACACACTCGAGTTGATGATCTAAGAACATTTGGTGTTGAAACGGAGCACCCCCCCCCAAAAAAAAAAAAAAAATTGGGACCTTATTGTCATGCCCCCCCCCCTCTTATTTTAGGAGGGGTAGACTTTTACAACCTGTACCAAGAACACCTTCCAGTGTAAAAATGGACATCCCCTAAATCTTCACTAAATTTAACAAGGAGAGGAAGTCAGAAAATAAATTACATCACTGTAGTTAGTGTTAGGAGTTTATGCTCTAGGAAGATTGCATGGCATTTAAATGCAAACAAGTGTTTGCCAGCAGTTCGTTTCTAACAACTGATATGATATACAAAATAATTTTTAGAAAATTGGTTTCATTAGTGGAAAATAATGTGGAGAAACATTCCCTCACCTGGTCATTATTTCTAATGATCCCAATACAACCTTGAAATAATCACAAGAACAGTGGGAAATGACGATAGAAAGCTTCAATAACAAGAATGAGGTTAATTGCTTGCAGTTGTTGGAATTTGGAAGTGCACAATTTCACATTGTTAATGTCAGGTTCATTCCCTCAAAAATTAATGTCAGTGTCAGACTTAAGTAATATTTGCATTACTGTTTTATAACACTACATTTGTAAGTACTATAGTACAAAATGTCAGAAGGGACAACTGAGAATTATTCAAAAATTTAAAAATGGTTTTATTCTGTACTGTGATTATTCCGACTATCAGTGGATTTTGGACCTTTTGGGAGCCAAAAGTATAATTTTTGAGAACAATGCAGGTGGTCCCCTGGACTCCAAGCCATATTTTCACGTTTATTTATTTATTATTATTTATTTATTTTTTTTTTTTTTTTGCTAAATGGCAGTCTCATATCTGTCAATTGGACAGTTGGCATTAGAGGCCCTGATGTGCAATTTCCCTTCAAGTGGTTGTCTGAAAAGGGCTTCTTTAAATAGAACTAGGATGCGAATATCTACATTGCATCATTCAGGATCTCAAAACTTGCACTCGTTTTTATGACTTTTATTGCCAGCAAGTACAACCTTTAAAAGTTATCTCACAATTCTTGATAAACACTTTGATACAGATGGATATTCTCTTATAATCTAAAATTATGCTAGGTACATCTGAAGGTTACAGTGTTTAGACTTGTGTAAAAACGACTTTGGTAGTGCATCTTGTGTAACTAGACGTAAATAGACTTCAAAATGAGGGATCAATATCCAGTACGAGAAATTATGTGACCTTCAAGTGTTTTCACAGTTTCTTAGAGAATGTTTTCTTAGTCTGTTGAAGGGGAGGGGGGGGGGGGGGGTCGAATGCAAAATTAGCTTATATACACATACAGAATATGCAAGTGATACAAAAATGTCTGTCAGTGCAAACCAAAGTTTCACTACTTGATATCATATGTATGCCCTTGAAAAAAATCTTCAAGTTATTGATTTTGTAAGATTGAGAGAAATAACACTACTTTTACAATTGATTGGCAATTAGGTATTCGTACTTGAACTCTAAAACGGGGCAGAACCTAGATGTCAAAAAGAGGTGTGATGCATTTGATCCAGCTGGTCCATACTTATCAAATAAATAAATAGGTGAAAATAATTAAATTAATAAAACTAATTAAGGATTCTTTTTGAGAGCTCTGAAAAAAAAAAAGGCTGTGAATGAACCTCCTTAACCTGCACCCCTAAATCCCCCCTCCCAAATAAATACAAATCTACGCAGTACAAAGTCTGACAATCTTGGCATGGGAGTAACGTAGAAAAATGTCATTAATTTAATGAAACACTCACTGCTGTGTACAAATTCTGTATATTATTAACAATAACATTAACATAAAACCAAATTTATGCAGCAACTTGCATAATGTACACCACCATGTCAAAAAGCTCTTTGCAAGATACTAGCCCAAACCTAGCAAAAATACTACTTGACCCATTGTTTTTTCTTTCATTTGTTGTGCAAATCAAGCATGTAAAAAAGTCAAGATCTTCACACACACTTGCACTGATGCAACTTTGGCATGGATAAAACACTTTTTTGGATCTTATCTGCTGAACTGTTAAAAGTCCCTTCACTTTTGGTTCACTTATTTCTTCCTTGTGGCCTGCTTCATAAACATCACGTATAAAAACTAAGTCGGCTATAATTTTCAACTTTTGCTATAGATCTGTTTGTTTTTTACTATTTGTACTTATGGCATTTCCACCACTACTTCCACTTGTCCCCGTGTTCGAATTTCTCGGACGCGGCATGTCTAAACTATACGTGTCACTTACAGTCACACTATCTATATCGATATCATCAAAGAAGTCAATATCCATATCGCTAATCGGTTCTGGCACAAAGTAATCCTCATCACTTGCCATTCCCGGGCGGTAGTTATCATACTCCGATATATAGGCATCCGAACTGGAGTCATAGTTAATTGCAGGATCACTTCGCGACATTTCGCTACTGTTTAAGGATGATAAACTCAAATTAATGGCATTGTCACCAAAGATGGCGCGTACCTGAGACGGAGAGGGTAATTTGTGGTGGAGTTTGGGACTCAATCCAGGACTCGACGGAGCTGAGCTTTCGTGATCGCTTGGGATGTAGTCAAGACTTCGACAGTGACGTGGTGGTAGCCCAACACGACCTCGTCGCTTGACTTGAAAAGATGGCGGTGCATGAAGAGGAGGGGGCGCTGCTGTAGCTCCTGATGATGACGATGATGATGCAGCAGCTACACCTGCTGGGAAAAATGGTTTGGGACGTTCAGGACTGCCAACCCTATTTTTGTGAGCTTCTCTCCCTGACGCACCCTTTTGAGCTCTACACTTTTTATCTCGTGGGGCATTTTCCGTGGCCGGTGCCCCACTGACAGCACCTTGAGGAAAGTTGGATCCTGTTGCAGCAGCACCATGGGGTAATCCCTGATATATTGGCTCCAGTGGCGCACCTGGGCGAGGTGGACGCACTGGCGGCAAGTTTGCATAGTCATGGCTACTGCTCTCTCCATCACTATCACTTTTATCTGCATCAGATGAATGATGTGTTAGGTGCGATACTGTGTTGGGCGTGACAAAGGGTTGTACATCACTGTCACTTTTTTCTCCATCTGATGGATAATCATAGAGTAAGTCCTTTGGTGGTGATGGGAGAGTAGGAGGAGATGAAGATGAACTGGACTGAAGTGGGTCCGTTGGGGACGCTCTCAACTTTGGCTCCCTCTTTTGAGATGAAGAACCTTGAACGAGTGGTGCACCTCCTCTCTGTGCACCATTGGAAGGGAAAATGACTGGGGTTTTGCTTGTTGCATTTGTTCCTTCTGTTGAAGAAACCACTGGCACTAACTTTCCTGCTGCTGTTTCAGGGCAGGATCTCTGCTTCTGCAGCTGAGGCTTGGTAGGCTTTGGTCTATGTGGTTGTAATGTGCGTGGCAAGGGTATCCCAGGGCTATCTCTCTCTGCTGGGTACTGCCATACTTGGGGCAACTCCACAACGTCTAAACTCTCCTGGGATGTCCTCTGCCCATTGTTCATCATGCTTAATCTCCCAGCCCCTGGGGTATCAATGTGGGGGCTTGCCCTGCTGTAAGGTGTTGCACGACTGGCGCGTCCACTTGCTCCATCTCCTCCTCTGGGACTATCCCTATATGGGGCACTACTCCTGCTCCCTCTTCCTCCCTCATTACGACTTCCTCTCCCACCATCATTTCGACTTCCTCTTCCACCCCAGTCACCCCTGGGGCTGTCTCTGCACGGCCCCCCATTCCTGCTTCCCCTACCGCCCTCAAACCTGGGACTGTCCATCTGTTGCCCTCCTCGGCCCTCTTGGGGGATGGGCTGAAACAACTTAGGACTTGGCGAAGATGCCTGCAGTGACATGTTTCGTCCATCTATGAATGCCAGTATAGGTGTGGTTGGAGAATTACTTTGACTGCTGTGACGTTCGTGTTGCTTAACTGCCTCCAAGGAAAGTTGTGGATAGCTGCGGTCGCGGGTAGGGATTTTTTCTGAAGGATGATGGGTGTTAATGATCCCAGAGCTGCTCAGTCTTTCAGAGGAGGATGCCTTTAAGGGGACAGCATGAAGTCTGGTGACGCTTTCAGCCATGACAGGTGCTTCCTGTGCTTCAGTGTCCGACTCTCCCGAGGAGACATCCACAGTGTTGAGCAAGGAGGTCTCTTCAGGGTTGGTCTCAACTTTGTCAGTGGGGACCTCTTCCTGTGGGGCTAACTCATAATCATTCCTCCCACTACGGCCTAAAATGAAGGACTGTGTTAGAGGAGTGAATTGTTCCTTCTGTGGCATATTATTGCCTTTCACATTCCTGAAGTGGTAGGCAGGCAGTTCAGGAGAGGTTGTTCGTGAGGTGTCGGGTTTTGGTGCAGGCAGAGAGGAGCCACTTGACTTCCGAAACTTGTTGATGTTTTCCTTGGAATCTGATCCAACACCTGCCTGCAGCCGCCTCTTGCTCAAACTTCCTGTGGAGGGAGGGGATGAAGGTGGATTACCAGATACTGATTCCACAGGTGGGGATGTTGCTGGTGTAGCACCATGATTGGGCAACTTTGCTGATACTGATGGAGATTCTTTAATTACCTCAGAAAGGAGAGGAGTGCTTGACTGATAATTGGCCACTTCATGAAAGCTACTGGGCCGAGAATGACTTTGCAAAGCATGAGCTTTGGATCTCAACAAACTCTGCAAACTTTGCTTTGATTCAACTGAAGGTGGTCTATCTTGCTTCTTCCCATCCCGATTACGAAAGCGACTGAGCAGTGGATTTCCTGTAGGTGTCACCGGTGGAGTGGGCAGTCCTACAGGCATGACTGGCGTGCTGCCCCCTGGTGGGGAGGTGTTCAAAATGCCATCATCTTTCCGACCAAGAAGGAAGTAGGTCGTCATGATCCCTTTGCCTTTTACATTAATGGCACCACGGGTTTTGAAGTCATAATGGTTTTTCAGAGCTTGGAAAATATCCTCAGTAACCTGAATTGATCAAAATATTTTTTTCTACAATTCCAAGGATGTAAACATCAATGTTAAAAATATCATATTGTATGAACTGTACTTGATTTCTCAATAATTAATAAGACTACATGGATCCAATTATTAAATTTTAATACAATATCATTGGTGAGGATTGCCAACAAAAATCCAAATTCACGTAAAAGCCACATGCTAAGACAAAACATAGGCTGTACATCAACTCGACATCAGTTTAAGGCAATACTTTGATCGATATAGTAGAAAGTTAACCAAAGCTGAAGTTATATTATTGCCTATTTTTACAAAAAAATAAAAGCATTCATTGCCAACCCACTTGTATGTGGTCCATTTCTCCAGTACTTTCCATTCTACTGGCAACATTGACTGTATTTCCCCAGATATCAAACTGGGGTTTCTTGGCACCTATAACCCCAGCTACTACAGGACCAACATTCACACCTGAAAGTTAAAGTGGTAATTTCAGTACTGTTTATATATACATATATATTATAATATTTAGATAAATGTGTTGTTACAGTAACTTCAGTTCAAACTTACGGGGGTACATGAGACTGTAATTTAGTGAAAAAGTCCGAAAATACGGTGTGGGATCCAGGGGGCCACCTAGGCTAATGATACTTTTGGCTCTGAAAAAGTCAGAAATCAGCCATTAGTTGGAAAAATCTCATCCCTGAACTTACCAACTTTCAGCATAAAGTTATTGTAGGAGTTTTCATTGATCACTTTGAGCTTATGCTTCAGATCAAAGATGAACTCGACCAAGATGGTCAGGTTGGCTGTCACTGACTCTTCTGTGTCCTGAAAAACATATAGACAAATGTCTGAAAATTTTATCATATACAGGAGCATTTTTCATATTTTCTGGAAACTGCAAAATGTCCCAACCCAAATTGTAACATTTTTTCAAACACTGTCTCCATGTTAAAAACACCCAAAATCAAATTTTTAAAAGAAAATCCCCTCCTCATATCTTGCTGAAAATCTGAATCCCTCATTACGAAGTTGTACATAGGACCTTATGAAGATGTACAGGTATGAGAGTGAACAGTTATTCAATTATCTGTCTGCAAAAGTGGAGGTTAGCTATCCTAGGAAGCATTCTACCTGAATGATAGAATCTGGCATAAGACCCACTGCTGCCATGTAGGTGGAGCCAATAGTCTTGATTTTGTCCACAGCATAGAACTGAGGGTTGTGAAGGCACTGGAAGATATATAGATATGTTATTTCTTATTTCATTTCTAATATCACAATAAATTAAACCTTATTAAATAAGAGACTTGATGAAAGTGCTGAAATGTATTTATAATAGATGTACATGTAGATATTTACCAAATTCCTAATATGAGAATACAAATAAGGATTTTGAAGATTTCATGTACTGCAATATCACAAACATTCTAACATAAGGTTTGCTGTGGTAACACAATACTATAAACATAACTTTCTTAAAAAGTTATCAATATTGTATTCTAAACCCTGATAAAGTCCCCATAAACAATCTGATCCAAGGCAGCTCACCTCATCAAAATCAAATATAATCTCATTCAGAACACGTAGACACTCTATTCCCTGATTGTTTGCATCCAGTTCCATGTAAAACCCGGCAAAGTTTGGAATAGAGGCAAACATCACCCCAACTTTGGCATACTGTTGACTGTAGAGCTCCTAAAACATAGAATTATATTAACATTGCATTATAATTGTTTATATATCTAAATAAACATAGATATTTGTCTTAAGGTATCTAAACTGTACAAGAAGGCAACTGGCTGCTACCTGATGCAAAAAATAACTAACAGTTACTATATATTTAGCATTATGAATGAATTCAAATGAGTTTAAACCATTACTTATGTGTCTAAAATATTTTTAGCAATGTCTCTTTTGACAGGCCTACTCTGTATTTCAGTGCTGGACAAATATTACTACAAAATTTGTTTTTTAAAAAAAGGCTAAATTTTTGCTCCCTTTTCACCTTATTTTACGTACCATATTACTGGTGTATTTCTTGTCCAGAAAGTGTGCGGCCACATGGGCTGGAAGCAGGTTACACAGGATTCTACGATTGTTATTCTGCAGCTCCGTCATTTCTATCTTTTCTTCAGTGGCCTGGAAATTGAATTAAAGACATTGTATTTCAGCAGAAAAACAGTGTTTAACATCCCAGAGTGGTGCACATACATACATGCATTTAATTTGTTAAAAAATTTCAACTGGTAGTCCGAATTTATTGTGTAGTGTCTGGGCTTGTAATGATAACAGTGTGTTTTTTCATTACATTTCCCTTGATTCTCATATATTCACTGTTGGTAAAAAAAAACAATAAAATAAATAAATAAATAAATAAATAAATAAATAAATATAATGACCCAAGAGACCAAATATTTTACTTCTATAAACTAAAAGAAACTGCTAATATTTGAACTAATCTTTGCGGGTTACTAAAGATTAATATCATCAATTGAAGTATTTTAGACTAAATTTCAATTTCTACAGTGAAACCATCCTTGTTGTATGCAAGACAAGCAGGTGGTTGTTTACCTGGGTTTTCCACAGGTAGTCCATCCTGTGTGTCCACTCATCTTGACGTCCATGTACAAACAGTGCTAGAGCAAAGTGAATGAGGACAATGACCCCAACTACATTGGTGGGAATATATTGCCTGGAATAGAGAAACTTGGGGGATAAAATTTTGTGACCAACATTTTGTTTTTCATTTGATGATGAATGCTGTATAGTTATTAACAATGGTGACTATTAATCTTTTTTTTTTATTTACTTTTTTTTTGTAAATCTATTTTTTATGCACAAAGAACGGTTAACAATATAAGTGGAATTAGATTCAATTTGCTCTGTAATCCCACAGTGATAAAACAAATACTGCAACATTACATGTAATTATAAAATATATTACTTGAGGGTTTCTTACTTCTTGCTAATCAAGTACTGCAATTTCATGCAACATACATTATGGTATTTGTACACTCTCATTTTACACTGAATTTCCTTTTACAGTACGTGTTATGCTAGAGTAAAGGGAAATTGTTTGTGTGGTTTGTGGTTAATAAGCAACTACAAACCTGTATAAAGATGACTTACATTGTATAATAAGAATATAATATGTGATATCTCACCCTGTGTCATCGTCATACTGATGAAATATCGATACGTGTGTAAAATGCATCACAATACTAAATGTGGCCACCATTATAAGCAGCATGGCGAACTTCACCAGGGCGGAGAGATTCAGAAATAATGCCACCGTCAGGAAACACATCATGGCCGCCAGGTAGAAATATGGTGGCAACTCACAGTGGAGATGATCGTCTGCCGCACTGATGATGGAGCGCTGGAGCTCACCTGTGTGAATGCCTCCTTCACAGAAAAACTGGAAGACAATTTCGTTTAAATTAAGTATTAAGTATAGAATATCAATTGCACACTTTTTTTAAGTTTCAGGGTGTCAATTTTCACATGTTTGGATGATATCCTTCTAAATGTTAGAAACAAACATGTTTAAAAGATACATTGATATCACCATATGAAAATTTTATTGCAGTTTCATTTGCAAACAAAATGGATAAATAGTCAATTTATAGTGTTTTATAATTTCAGGCAACATTTGTACAGGTATCTGTATTTAGAAACTAGAATATACATACCACTTTAAGTTATACATGTAAATATTGTACCCCCCTGTGCATGCTGTACTTGTGTATTTATGCACATGCACTTAACAAATCATGACAGTGCAACAACTGAAGACTACTACTGTTACTGATAAAATGTACCTCATTTCAGCAATGTTTTTATGCTGTACTTACTATATTGACTTGAGCAGCTGCGTAAATGAGTATAATACTGACTATAATAACTGCAAGGCGAGCACGTGGCTTTTGACGGAGATCAAATGGAATACACTGGAATATACATGTACATAAAATATAAAGAAACTTGCACATTATCCATGAGTACTCTGACTTGTGACAGGAGAACGATGTTGTTGAAGTTGCAAATTTTACAAAATGATCTGCTAATTGACTGTATAATATGAAAGCTCCCACATGTTGCAAAAGTACGGGAAGTTTTTTCATTCATTTCAATTTTTTATATCTGATCTTTACCTTAAGTTTGGCACCCAGGATGAGTATGAGCAGTATGGACAGCCACATGAATGTCAACAGGAATAATAGCAGCAGCATCAGGGTCCTGAAATAAATAAATAAATAAATAAATAAATAAATAAATAAATAAATAAATAAATGATTAAATGAATAAATGAGTGAATATAAATGAGTGGATGAACACGTATAAATAGTATTAGTCAGATCTTTATAGTATTACAATATATATCAATCACCTTGTCACAAACTTCTAGAGAATCTGGACTAAAATATTTTAAGGACTATATAAATTATCTTTTTGAAGTTTAATTTATAATATCATGTGGTTGTTTGAAGACAAGAAGATAGAGGTACTTGTTATATTTTAAGCCAAGATGGCCTTACACTGAAGTACAACAGTAACAAGTCCAAGTCACCAAAAAGCCATCTTTTATTTTGCCACTCTACAACATTCTCTCGTGATCTCCACTACCACAATTGAGACTGGTGTCACAATTGTGCCACAATTTCACCACAACTGCAATCCACTACAGCACTCACCTTGGCAGAAGGATAAGTTGTACAGCAGATACACACACCAACACTATCAGAGCACACAGGAGACTGGTGCCGAAGGATACATCCTTCATCAGCTGATACTGTTGTTCAAGATATTAAAAAAATATATTAAAAAAATTAATATAAAAGAGCAATATTTTGTGAACCATTAGACAAAAATCTACTGGTAGCATCTATTGATGCCATGCAGTGAAATGCCAATAAACATGGTGCACATATCTTGCTAGACATATTATTTTTGANCCCCCCCCCCCCCCCCCCCAAAAAAAAAAAAAAAAAAAAAATTGGGACCTTATTGTCATGCCCCCCCCCCCCTCTTATTTTAGGAGGGGTAGACTTTTACAACCTGTACCAAGAACACCTTCCAGTGTAAAAATGGACATCCCCTAAGGCTTCACTATATTTAACAAGGAGAGAAAGTCGGAAAATAAATTACATCACTGTGGTTAGTGTTAGGAGTTTATGCGCTAGGAAGAATTGCATGGCATTTAAATGCAAACAAGTGTTTGCCAGCAGTTCGTATCTAACAACTGATATGATATACAAAATAATTTTTAGAAAATTGGTTTCATTAGTGGAAAATAATGTGGAGAAATATTCCCTCACCTGGTCATTATTTCTAATGATCCCAATACAACCTTGAAATAATCACAAGAACAGTGGGAAATGACGATAGAAAGCTTTAATAACAAGAATGAGGTTAATTTCTTGCAGTTGTTGGAATTTGGAAGTGCACAATTTCACATTGTTAATGTCAGGTTCATTGCATCATTCAGGACCTCAAAAATTGAACTCATTTTTATGACTTTTATTGCCAGCAAGTACAACCTTCGAAAGTTATCTCACAAATCTTGATAAACACTTTGATACATATGGATATTCTCTTATAATCTAAAATTATGCTAGGTACATCTGAAGGTTACAGTGTTTAGACTTGTGTAAAAACGACTTTGGTTGTGCATCTTGTGTAACTAGACGTAAATAGACTTCAAAATGAGGGATCAATATCCAGTACGAGAAATTATGTGACCTTCAAGTGTTTTCACAGTTTCTTAGAGAATGTTTTCTTAGTCTGATGGGGGAGGGGGGGGGAGGGAAAGGGTTGAATGCAAAATTACCTTATATACACATACAGAATATGCAAGTGATGCAAAAATGTCTGTCAGTGCAAACCAAATTTTCACTACTTGATATCATATGATTACCCTTGAAAAAAATCTTCAATTGATTGATTTTGTAAGATTGAGAGAAATAACACTACTTTACAATTGATTGGCAATTAGCTATTCGTACTTGAACTCTAAAACAGGGCAGAACCAAGATGTCAAAAAGAGGTGTAATGCATTTGATCCAGCTGGTCCATACTTATCAAATAAATAAATAGGTGAAAATAATTAAATTATTAAAACTAATTAAGGATTCTTTTTGAGAGCTCTGAAAAAAAGGCTGTGAATGAACCTCCTTAACCTGCACCCCTAAATTTCCCCCCCCCCCCTCCCCCCTCCCAAATAAATACAAATCTATGCAGTACCAAGTCTGACAATCTTGGCATGGGAGTAACGTAGAAAAATGTCATTAATTTAATGAAACACTCACTGCTGTGTGCAAATTCTGTATATTATTAACAATAACATTAACACAAAACCAAGTTTATGCAGCAACTTGCATAATATACACCACCATGTCAAAAAGCTCTTTGCAAGATACTAGCCCAAACCTAGCAAAAATACTACTTGACCCATTGTTTTTTCTTTCTTTTGTTGTGCAAATCAAGCATGTAAAAAAGTCATGATCTTCACACACACTTCCACTGGTGCAACTTTGGCATGGATAAAACACTTTTTTGGATCTTATCTGCTGAACTGTTAAAAGGCCCTTCACTTTTGGTTCACTTATTTCTCCTTGTGGCCTGCTTCATAAACATCATGTATAAAAACTAAGCTATAATTTTCAACTTTTGCTATAGATCTGTTTGTTTTTTAC